CCCCAAAACCCCAAAACCCCAAAACCCCGAGGAGAGAGTGGACTATTGATGGATTAAGTGGGAAAAGTAGGATTAGAAATCTGGGATTTTGGTGATGAATGTTTGGAGATTGGTTTTGAAGGAGCTGAGCTGGCTCTTGAGTGAGGTTATTTCTTCGTCTTTGAGCGTGTTTTCATTGAGGAGTTTCTTGTTTTCATGTTTGAGTTCGTTTAGGGTTTGGGTGAAGCCTTGTGTTGAACACATTCTCATATTATTTTCCTCTCTTTTGCTTGTAAATTCTTTGTTTTGATTTCTTAATACATGATTTACAAGGGCGATTCTGCTAGTTTGCTCTGATTTCATGCGAAATTCGACAATCAATCCATTATGAGCAGATTCAATCTTCTTTTTTCTTTCTTCACTTTGATTCTTTTCTTTCACAGCACTATATTAAGGTTAAGTAAAAGCTATGAATCGAAGTTAGCAAGCTTATATATTTTATTAACAAGATCAAAACTATAAGCTGTAGCTATATAGCATGATACCTTTGGATTGTTTGCTGAAGCTCCTCATTGATCTTCCTTTCTTCCTCAAGCTTGGCCTCTAGAGCCTTCACTTTTTCAGCAAGTTTCATATTTTCTTGCTTGAGTTGATGAAACATTGGTGATTGTTCTCTGTTGCTTTCAGAAGCTTTGAAGCCTTTAAAAGAGGATGCTTCTTTTATATTTTTCTTTTTATTGGAGGTAAAGAACACTTCTCGCTTGTATTTGGTAAATGTGGTTTCTTTTGTTCTGATGGTAAAGGAGAAAATTTATTTTTCGGTGGAAAGTTCTTTGATTCTTCAATCTGTCTTTGAAAATTTGGGTTAGGGTCTAGAGATTTTTGATATTGTGCCTGAGATTTTCAGAGTTTTCTGGGATTTCATATATAGTTTCCTTGAAGTTCTGGGTTTGGTAACACCTGTCTTCGATTCATTGGGCTTGTGAAGCATTATGATTTGCTTTATTTTGAAATCTTTGTTGCTTGAAGGGTAATTTTAGATGGTTAAATTAAATTTGGATAAATTTTCGACACCGAATGCTGGAAGGACAATTCATCAAATAATTTAAGCATAATTTTATTTAACTTTATAACAGCATTTAGAGAAAGATATTAAAATAAGGTTGAAAGAGCGAGTGTTGTCAGTGTGAAACAACGATTTTTACCACTTTCCTTTAGAATGATTCACTAATTTTAAAGTCTATTATTAATAAAAATCAATAAAAAATAAAAGTTTTCGTTTGACTTTGTTAAAATTTAAGATAAATGTTTAACTTTTTAAAGGAGATATAAGCAATCTTACCCTTCTGTTATGTTTTTCTCTTAGGTTCGCCACACTCTTTTTATAAATTCTTAACTTTTCCGCTACCAGTTTTGGTTTTGCTGTTTTTATTCTTTTGAAAACAATAATTTTTCTGGGTAAAACAGGTTGAGGATTCTTCGGTTGGACATTTATTTCTCTATTGAAGGATTGTTCTTTATCTTCTTCCTTCTATACTTATGTGAATTAACTTCTTTACCTTTAAGTTCCTTTTCTTCGACTGACTTCTTCTATCTGAAGAATGATTATCTCTGGCTACAAAGGTCATATTATATGCTTCGTTGTTATTTTCCATTATGATTATCTTCTAAATAAAGCATTAATTAAAAATCCCAAATTTAACTCGTTCTCAATCTCTAATTCAGGAGTTTTGAGAGAGAAGTTGTTTCAAAACTTTATTCTTCTAATTCAAAAGAAGTAGTAGGTATTGCTGACTGGGAACATATTAACCAAGAAGTCCATATTTGGATTCAAGATCTTTTTAAATTAATTTGGATCTTGTTTCAAAAGGAGATAAAAGTCTGCAAATGTTCACGGAAGTAGGAAAATTGGTAGAAAATTATCTGGAGTTTAGTTAGAAGCATAGTATGATTTACCCATATCTTTAAACTCTTCTTGTGGTGTTTTAAAGCTTCTTTTGCCCTTCTTTTTAATGTTTTGTATCTATAAAATCAGCTCTGGTTCTTTCTACGAGCTTACATTTGAGAGTCTGTCTTTACCTGACAATCTTCTTCCTATTAAAAGAGGGTTTTCTTGCTTCTTATGCTTGATTAGGATTCCTAAATAAAAGATTTTAAATAAGGCCATTTGGCTAAAACTAAGCTTTAGAAAGGAGTGAGTGTCTTAAAGAAAATGTTTTCGTATAAATTCACCTAATTTAAATTTAAAAGATTACACTGAACTTATTTTCACTTTCTAAAGCTTTTTTATATTCACATTTTCTCTTCCAAGTCTTAGCTTCTCTTGTTTTAACCAAGAGCAAAGAATATTAAAAAATCTTACTTTCTCCTGAATTCATTGCTAAATTATTGTAGTCAATTCCTGCTTCCTTATATGGGGTTTTGGGGTTTTGGGGTTTTGGGGTTTTGGGGTTTTGGGG